CAGGCAGCCTCAGAACGGCCCGTGGCAGCCCATGGCACTCAGAGAACACCCTAAGGAGCAGCCAGCAGCTCCTCCAGCGCCTGCAAACACCCGTCTTGTCCCCAGCTAAACACAACCCCGCATGAGGGAGCAGATCCGATGCCCTGGCGGGCAAATCTCCACCCCCCAGCCCAAAGCCAGGGTCTTCTCTCGCAACAAGCCGCTTTGCGCCCCACGGGGCTGCCAGACAGCCCATGGAGTGACCGCGTTTGCAGGTGACGATGCCCAAAATGCCGAGCAACAACCTCACTGCAACGATACAGCGAGACCCGGCTGGCCCGAGGCCGAGCCCTGCAAGCCCAAGGGGAGCAGGGACCCTTCGGAGGTCACCGAGAGCCGGGATACGTCAGGACGGCATCGCACAGGAGGCCGGCAACAGGCAGGAGCCAACGGGCTCCCGCAGTCCGAGACGACCCGTGAGGATCTCGGGACATGGATAAACACCGAGGAGGGAAACGCCGGGCGCACGAGGCCCGCGCTTTCCCGGGAGCCCTGATCCACATCCCTCGTTGCCTCTGCCACGTTTTCCAATCTTTTCTGCACCCAATCCCCCTGGCCTGGCGTTCTCCCGATGAAGGCTGGAGACGCCCCTGGCAGCACAGGGCTGAGGCTGAAAAACCTGATACTCCCCAAGAAACGTCCCGCACGTTGGGACCCACCGCAGGGCTGGTCTCCTCCCATCTCCTAAGGAATTCCACCCCAGACGGCGGAGCAAGCGGATTGGGAAAGGCCCTTTGTTCTCTGCCACAGTACCCGCCTGTCCCTTTTTTTGGGGCTTGGGCAACAATTCCACAGCGGAATGCTGGCATCCCAAATCCCTGGTTTTCCTCCCTGCTGAAGCAAGGCGGATCCCAAACCACTGCTTTTTCCAGGGATCTCCCGGAGTTTCTGCTCCAAAGCGATGCCCGTGTGCACGACGCGCTCCTGTGACAGGAGCTCCAAGCACTGGAACCGCCGTGGCCCGGCCCCGGGAGCAGCTCCCAACGCTCACATCCGACCTCCTCCCAGGAGAGATGCCCTTTGCCATCGACTCGCCACGGGGCCTCCCCCCACAGCCACCGAAAAACAGGGTGATCTTCAAGCAACCACCCACAACCTGCCCCAAATGTCATCCCTTGAGAGCCAGGAAAAAAAAATAAAAATTAATCAATATTTGTATCAGAAAGGACCGAGTCCCGTTGAACTGAACAAGCTGGGCTAATAACAACCCTCACGTGTTGGGAAAGAGGAAGTTTTTATTTGCAGGGAGGGAAATGGAAGCAGGAGGAGGCCAAATGGGCCACATGGAGGACATGGAAGGGAGAGCAACTGACGGTCGCTCCGCTCTGCTCCGCTCCAAGCGGCTGCTCGGAGGGTTGAGGGAAGTTTTCCCTGGAGGACTGGCCTTTTCGTGAAGCCTAAACAGCGGCACCAACTCGGAGAACTGCCTCAAACACACAAACACAAAGCAGCAAACAAACCCCGAGGCCGCTTCCAGAGGAGAGGTTGTGACTGCCAAAACCCACGGTGCATCTGAGAAGCTGCCCCAGCTTCCCCTGCCGCTCCGGCCGGGGCTGTTTGCAGCTCAGGGCTGTGATCCGCCTGTTTCCCGGATCGAACGGGACCTGCTCAAACACCGGATCGCTGAGCGAAGCTACTCCCGTCCGCACTGACCATCTCTATGGGCTGTTTCAGGAACGAGGAGGGAGCAGCCCCATCAGAGGCTCCCGGTCTGAGCCCGGAGCGCGGAGACGTCCCGGAGCAGAGCCCGTCGAGGAGAAGGCCCCGGCTCCCTGCACCTGCCCTCTGCCTTCCCAGCGTTGGAAACCAGAGCTGCAGAGCCGCTCTGGGAGGAACCCGGGGAAAAGGGACATCTCGGAACTCCGACCCGGAGACACCCGCAGAGCCACCTGTGCAAAGGAGACAGCTCGACCCTCCGAACAGCCGCGTTCGAGCCCTCCGAGCAGCACTGACCCCCTGAAGCCTCCAGGGAGGCTCTTCCTACCCACTGACCCCCCGAAGGGCCGACGAGTCTCGACGCGCCCTCATTTTTCCATCTTCAGCAGCTGCTCTGCTTCAAAATGTTTTTAAATTAAGATTCTGATTTTTATGCTCTCTGTACAAACCTTGCTTTGCTCTGTCCTTAGGCCATCACCAGTGCATCATCAGCTCTTCTACTTCTCATCCAGATGATGTCTATTAAACAAAAAGAAACAAAATCCTGCGGTGATTTGGGGGGAAAAAAACAGTGGTTTGATGCCATTTGATGCCATCCCCAGCCTCCTGCATGCTCCAACGCCGAGCGGATAAAAGAAAGAGGTGATTTATTTTCTTCCTGCTGTCAGCTCTCTCCTTTCAGGCTCTGCAAGGAGCAGCGTGTCCCTGTTTCCAGTAACTCGTGGCCTGATTCTGCAACATTTGCAGTTAAGACAGGAGAGCTGATGCCAGGTGCTCAAGGTGCAGGTGCGCCGCTAAGGTTGCAATATCCCCGTTCCAGCGTCGGGCCCTATCCCTCCCTTCAATCCTAAATCCTCATCCTTTAAATCCTCGTGTAAACTGAGCTGCCTCCTGCGACGTCTGGGATTTTTTAATAGCTGCTTCCATGCTAAAAAAAAAAAAAAAACCCCGG